GAGAGAGAGAGAGAGAGAGAGAGAGAGAGAGGAGGCAGGAAAGACTGGGCTGCAGAGACGACCAGAAACAGAAGGTCGGGAGACAAGGGTGGAGCTCTGTGTGTGTGTGTGTGTGTGTGTGTGTGTGAGAGAGAGAGAAAGAGAGAGAGAGAGAGACCTAATAGTCGGTGCTTCGCCGCGCGATGAACTTGGCCGAGCTCAAAAGCATCCGCTTCGGCAACCTGTCATGTCATAGTAGCCTCACGACGACGGGCAAGAATCCAGCTCAATTTTGCCCATTCGGTCCCACTATAGCTGGCGTGATCCCACCTACTTTTCTTTTTTGTTTTTTTTTTGTTTTTTTTTCACAAATACGGGCCCAGTGCCCAAGGCTTATATTGCCAATGGAAATTCCGAGGCCGGGGTCCTCACAGTCTACCCGGGATGAGATAAACTTCTGGGAGCATTACCCAGTTTCGCTTACAGGGATTGAACCCTGCAGGGGACCAACCCCCTGGAAAAACAGCAGTCTGCAAAAGGACAGATCAAAAACTCAACACACAAGAAGGCCCGGGGAATCAACATCCCCCTGCCTTGGCAAGCTCCTAACTATCTCTCCTCTTTCTCCTATTGAGCTCTGCCTCCCTACTTAGCGGGAGGGAGGAACTTAAACTAGTTCCAGTGCAAATATGACACTCCCTCCTGACCCCTCAACCTCTATCAACTGCCGTCGTACTGTGGACATAAAACCGAGTGTCCAGGTATTTACTTATTCATTCAATAACCATTGATCCAGAGTCAACTTCCCGCCTTCAACTCTCACCAATTTCCCTCCCAAGGCCCACGTGGATTCAAACCAAGCCAATCCCGATGCCCTTGAATGGGGTCTGAGAACTTTCCTTCTCCAATCCGCTTTGATGACTTGCCTGATGCGGGTCTTGATTGCTCCCTTAATTACTGTGTCCGCCAGGAACCTGCCTTCGAACACATTCTTGTTCCTGACTTCCCAGATAACAAGGCACAGACAGGCCCTCAATCCCTGGGCCACGTACCCCCACCCTTTGTGGAGGTAGAGATCTTCGGGGATTCCACCTACCGTAGTAGAATCCATTTGTCGTCCCATTGCATAATCGATCCGCTTATGCGGTCCCAATGTGTGCGCCACCAGTCCCAGATCCGACGAGACAGAGGACAGGATAGCCACAAATGGGTGGTTGATTCAAAAGGCCATCTGCACCTGCCACACTGCAGTTGCACCTTCATGCCCCTTTCCGTGAGCCACACCGCCGAGGGGGTGACCAACAGGGAAAGAAGCCAGAGCATGGCCGCTGCTCTGGGCATTGGGGCTGAGTACAGCTGCTCCCAGCAGCGAGTAATATCAGTACTTATGGTCCCGGTGTCGAAGGCAGTCACTTGGGCCCATCTGCTGGTTGCAACTGATAATGGGGTCCTGGCTGGCGCCTGGAGGGCATAGCCTCCTGCCGCTGTGTAATCCGTCAGCCAGGCATCTTCTGCGAAGTGAACAGGGTCCCGCCAAGTCCAACATCTCGGATCAAGCTTGAGTAATCTAATGGGGGTCCCATTCGCCCATACAGTGCACGTCCATCAGCGGTGCTCATCACAGCTTTCTTTTACTCTGACTTGCGTGAGTCTGCCAGGCGCAGGGCCCACCAGGGTGGGTGAAGCGCCCTCCTCCCTGCACTGCAGGGAGGGGGATGAAATCAATTTGTCACCTACTTTTCTTTTTTGTTCGTTTTTTAGTAAACAAGCTATATTCTTCTCTCAATTTCACCTTTCACTGTGTACCGCGCACAGCGCGGAAGCGCAGCCGGGAACAGGGCTCCGACGCGCAGCATTCTTTTCTTTTTTGCTTCCCCCTTCTCCCGCCCTTCAACCCACCCTGCCTACATCCGCTTTTCGCTTCCGGTTCAGCTCCATCTTGGGCTGGGTGCGGAGGGGCCGTGGTGGAGCTCAGGGGTGGGGGAGTGGGCCGGGTGCGGAGCTTTGTGGCGTTGCTCCCCCTTCATCCCATCTCGCCTCAGCAGGGTGTTACCTTGGTCCGGGGACGGACAGCCCTGGTGGAGGTTAGGGAGTGGCGCGGCTGTCCGTGGTCCGCATAACCGCGCTCCCTATCGTCTCACCTTTGTCCAGACCTTCTCATTCAGCCTCATCCTCGGCTTCGTGCAGAGCTTGTGGTTTGTTTGGGGATGGAGGGTCGTGGTAGAGGCTAGGGGTTGGGTGTGGAGTCGGGGGTCGAGGACCCCCTCTCCGTTTCCTCCTCCCTTCTGGACAGGGCTTTTTGAAATTGTCGAGCTGGTCTGAGTCTCGGGGTGGAGGGCTGTTGAGGGAGGGTTTGGGTCGGGATCCGGAGGCATTGGGCAGGAGGGGACGACACAGCGCTTGCACCCTCGTTACCCCCCTGCTCGCCGGAGGCCTGTCTCCCCTTGCAGTCTATGCTCTGGATGCCGAGGCGGCTTTGGGATCATCATATAAAAAACAAAAACAGTAGCATAAGGCAGGGAACGGGGTGTAGGGAGGAGAGGGGGCGGGGGGGGGGGGGGGATGAATCTTCCATTCCCATTTTGCATTTTATGAACGAAAGACGCTGGGAACGAAATATGTGCGGGAAAAAGAGAGAGAGAGAGAGAGAGAGAGAGAGAGAGAGAGAGAGAGAGAGAGAGAGAGAGAGAGAGACGTGTTTTGAACGTGCGATGTGATAATGAATCTTCCCATGAATGCGGGAAGATTCATTCTCACTTTGCACATCCTAAACACACACACGTGTGCGCGTGAGTATGAGAGAGAGATTGAGAGAGAGAGAGAGAAATGAGAATGAATCTTTCCCCGTTGTCGCAGAACAATCATTCACATTTTGCATTTTATGAACCAACGGCATTGGGAACGAACTATGCGCCGGAAATAGATAGATAGATAGATAAAAATGTGTTTCGAACGTACAAAATGAGAATGAATCTTCCTGTAAATGCAGGACGGTTCATTCCCACTTTGCACATTCGGAACGCGTGGCCCCGAAGAGAAAGGAGGGAGGGGGGGGGGAAGAGGAAGTAATCAGCGTTCCGAACAGGTGTTTTGTACTAGCATTGCGCTTCAGGGTCACCGCTACATACACGAACTATCGAAACACAAACTTGTATCTATTTGCCATGCCCGATTTTCTTGGGGGGGGGGAAGCGGGAGTCCACCAAATAATTGACCAATCGTATTATCTAAGATGAAACCTAGAGTACAAAAAAAAAAAGGAGAAAAGTGAAGTCGGTGTGTAGCATTGTAATGCAAGCCAATGACGGACAAGTTGTATTAACATATTGACGTGTAACATAGTGACAGGAATGTGTGCATAAATTGTGTGTCTATGTTTAACATAATTACACAATCTTATAGTTTCATAAATGAGGAGGGTTTTTACCAGCATAATTTCATGTTTGTGTATGTCTTTTGTGGGTATTTTTTACTCATAAGTAAATAATTGACCTATCGTGTCATTTAAGATAAATTGAAACCAAAAGTACCGAAAAAGTTTTAAATACAAAAGGTTACTAACAACAGATCAAAGTAATTTAGCTTCACACTATGGAAGTCGTTGTTCGCTATCGCAAGTTAGCTTATGCATGTGTCTTGGATCAGCATACTGATGAATTGTTGAAGATGAGAGTCAAGGCTGAATTGTCGTTGGATACAGACCTAGGTTTAAAAGCATACGAGATGTTAAGTTGGGGTTCAGAGGTGGGGGCTAAGCTCCCCCCCCCCCCCATCTGTTGTTCAATGTAGAGTTGAGTTCAAACGCATCGGCTGTGTTCAATTGTGGGGGACGGGGGGCTGGCTAGGCCTCCCCTCCCCCACCAACCCTTCAACCCCAATGTTTATTTCGTAGTGTTGAATCTCATCCCATACTCATAGTAGGATTTTTTCTGTCAATTTATATAATCGCAGTCAGATAGATTCGTTGTTTGGTATTGCGAGTTAGCCTATGTATACGTCTTGAGCCACCACACCCATTAACTATTGAAGACAAGAGTTGAGGTTGAATCTGATGCTGCATACAAACTTTTTTTTTTTTTTTTTCGTGAGAGAGAGAAAGAGAACAGGTAAGTCTCCAACCTCGCGGCTGATCTCATGGTACTTTCATCGATAGGAGGAGCAAAATCGAATGAATCTACCACTATAACACGAAAATATACACTTGTTTTTGCGCGTGTTATCCGCGGGCGAGGTGTCCCGACCCTCCCCTGTATATCAGGCGTCCTCTCACTTACCTCTATTGTATATCAGACATCCGCTCACTTACCTTTGTTGTGTGTCAGGCGTCCGCACACATACCCTCGCAGTGCACCAAACACTTTAGTCTACAAACCTCTGTAGAATGTCGGGGCGTATCCGGGGTGCACCCTGTTGTGGGACTGGCCAAGTCAACTATTCCTTCAGTAAAGGGTAGGTTCACCGTCGGACTCTCGCTTGTCCCACACAGACTCGGTATCCTGCCACCGTGCAGCAGGAGTTGTGGCCGTGGCTGCAGCTGGTCTCACTCAAAGACTGGACGGCGGAAAGGCCGAAGTTATCTCATTGAATGCACATCATACCCCCCTCTAGTCAGGTTACGGGACGTATACTGGGTTGCAGTCACTGTCGAGGCGAAGAAAGGACTGAGCAGAAAGGAAATGAGAAAGATACATGTAAAATCCACACTCTGATTCAAATCGTCGCTCGCGTACGACTTATTTTGCGGCGTTGACCACAGTAACGCCACACTTCTTCCTATAACTTTTCCTTTCCTTACGATAATTATAATAATTATTATAATTGTTATTTTTGTTATTACTACGATTAAGTTGTTCTTTGAAATTCCTTTTTCTTTTTAGTCACTTCGCAGGGGAACGAACGGTTTGATTTTGAACTACGTTCATGAGTTGTGGCCTAGACTGGTCGATCTCCTTCATGCTTCGATGTAGAAATGACCGGTCCATTGCCCTGAGGTAGGGCCCCAAAAGAGGGGCAACCCGCGACCACTTTGGTAGGGAGTTTATCACCTTCCACGGAAGGTCATAAGCACCCTCATTGTCATCGAAAGCGGACACCCATTAAGGGTAAGGCCAACGGTCTCATTTGAGGATGGAAAAACTTCGATTGGGAACCCTTTATGAAACTATCGCATCGAACCAGCAGTTACCTCATGCCAGGGACAAGGTGACTAGCGATTCAGCAGAAGTTGGCGCCATTACCG